AATGAGCCATCTGATTGTTAAGTTCATTTCTGGAATGCAAGGATCTGTCTATCAAACCCTTTGTTTGCACCGGACAAGCTTGATGTAAGATCTTCCACTGTTCTAAACCCAATCTGTGCCAAACAAAGATACAAGTAACGGAACATGAGTATGTAACCCCAAAACTTGCCAATAACATTAGGTTACAAGAACAAAAGAAAGCCAAGACTAATTTGTTACAAAAATCGGTTGTGCTCCACATAGTTGTGGTCTACGCTTTACCTGAATCTATTAATCTAACTCTGAATACATATGCTAAGCATGGCATATTTAATTCATCAGGTACGAGTATCAGTAAAACTAAGGAAGCAAATGGAGTAGAAAGAGTACATTATCAAGAAGAATTTCTTGGAAACGCTCTGGCCGTAAAACAATATTTCGGTAATTCATTGCAGTAGTCTGCAATCACAAAAGACAAATACATATTGTAATTATAGTTAACTTGTGCACTCTGAAACACCAGAGAGAATTTTTGTGTATACATACCTCTGAGACACGACGATTGTTTTCATAAGATTTCCAAGGCTGAGGTTCCATTACAAAAATACCACCCTGAAAAGCCAAGCCAACGGTCATTTGTGCTTATGAGAAGCAAAAATGGGCACATTTAGTATAAGTTCAATGTAGTTACCGGGTTAAGAAGTCGCCAGATTTTTGAAAATAAGGTGATCAAACCATCGTCACCCCAATTCAGATGAACCCATTTTGTCACACTCAAACTACATCAAAGAGAAACATGTCATCAATAAAACTGTTATTTTCAATTTCAGCATAAGACAACCAAGACAGAGGACATTTTGATTTCAGCTAAGAATGATACCTCCTTTAGATAAAAGTGAAGTAAAAAAGGCTTAGTTACATAAGATTCTTTAACTGAAAACCTATGCATATCTTTTATCAACTACAGTTGAAATCTCATATGTAGTTTGCGGTATGAGCATTGCCAACAAAATTGATAACTCTCTTCTGTTGCCAATCCTCTTCAAGAGTCAGAGCCAAACATACGACGAAAAGAAGGGGAAAAAAGAAAGGAATTTACCATAGAATTGTATCATAACGATTGTTGTCAAGATGTCGAGTTTGAACAAAATTCTCTTTCTGAAACGAGACAATCTGAGATAGGTCTTTAACTTCTGGCTTGTCCATCCTCGTCTCACCATTGGAGAGAGATATAGATTGCTCCTTTGAACCATGTACTTCATCTGCACCGTCTGAACTAGATTTCTTTTCACTTGGCTTACCAGAATTCTGCATTCTGGCGAACTTTCTAAGATGCCAGTGAGCATCCTCAATGCGGCCTTTAACAATCACAGAAAATCTAATTCAATGCACGGGGAATGACATACTTCAGCAAGAAAAACATACAAATGTTTCAAGAATACATACGAAATTATCATAGAGATGTATCTACTATTCTGCCTTCACCAAAAAGACTATGTATTTACTACACCGTACAATTCAGACTTGATATGAGATACTTGATATAAACACACAATTAACTGAATGCAACCTTGGAAGCAATTATGAAAACCAACAGTTCTTACTTGAATCAATATCAACTCCAAGAATGCTGCGGCAACCGAACTTTTTAGCT